CGAGCCGTTGAGATTTGTGCCGCAATTCCGTATTTCATCCTATACCTTAAGTTAAGGGGGAAATATTCCCCCTCCATTGACACATCTTGACCTTTGACCCTTGACCCCCAAATTCGCCATCCCCAAGGGCCAAGTCCCTCCCTACGTTGCGCAAACTGCCCGTACGCCGTGAACTCCACCCACTACCGTCAGTTGATCACACGCTAGGACAACTGAGACTCGAGGAGGGAAAGTTTTCTCCAAACTGGACGCCAACCCTGGTTTCTGGCAAGTCGACCTTGATGTGGAGTCACAGTTACTCACAACTTTCATTACTCCATTCAGACGTTTTGCCTTCAGACGACTTCCCTTTGGTATTTCTTCCGCTCCTGAGTACTTTCAAAAGAGAATGCAGAAGATTCTAGAAGAATTAGATGGTATCGTCTGTGAGATGGACGACATACTCGTCTTTGGGGGAAACCAGGACGAACATGACAGGAGACTGTTAGGCCAAACAAAAAATAGGTGTGTTTCCTATTGCATCGAAAACAAAAGTAGGGTAGGTAGGGATTTTTTATATTTTTTATTTTATTTTTTTTTAATTTTTATTTTTTATTCTTTGGTTTCTAATATCCCTCTGATGCATGCTATAAAGTGGTGTATAGGTAGGGATAAGTTAGTAAGCAAGTACAGAACGTGTTTGTAGTAAAAAATCTCAAGTTTTGTCTGTCAAATTTCAAATTTTTAAAAAAAATTATAAATTTTTTTTTTTGAAAAAAAAGTTTAGGGTTGGCCCTAATAATCTAGGGACGGTCGGTCGACCGGAAACACACCTATTTTTTTGTTTGGCCTTAGCAGTCTTATGTCGACTAGGAAAAGCAGGTATAAGGCTAAACGTCGAGAAATGCGTCTTCTCCGTCCGCTCAGTGAAATTCGTCGGTCACCTCATTGGTGAAAACGGGATTAGCGCCGACCCGCTCAAGGTTAACGCTATTGCAGAGATGGAACGACCCACTAACGTTAGCGAACTGAGACGATTTCTTGGCATGGCGAACCAGCTTTCTAAATTCATACTGGATCTGGCTGAGACAAACAAACCTCTCAGAGATCTTCTCGCGAAAGATAACGCGTGAATTTGGTCTGACGCTCAAGACCAAGCTTTCGAGAAAGCAGTGAAAAAAATACACGGGGGCTCGGGGCGATTTAGCCCCCGAAATGCCAAAAAGAGCCCCGGAAATGCCAAAAAGAGCCCCCGTAAATTTGCATAGATTGTAAGCTATGTGCCGCGCGTACCTGTAATATATGTGCCGCACATACCTGTAGCTACACATCACGACCAGCCATCTATCGCAGCGCGCATCCGCCTACCTGTGGGTTTCGGATTCACGGTGAAGTGCAGGAAGAGGCTGACGACCTCGCGGTCGGTGAGGATGCCCGACTGCGCCGGCCCGTTCGCAAACTCCTCGACGGTCATCAGCGGGAAGCGGATGAGCGAGAGCGCGCGGCCGAGCACGACGCGCTGGGTCTCCGGCACGACGGCCGTCTGTCGGCGCATGCACTCCGCCTCCGACCAGCGCGCGATCGCGCCGAACAGCCGCGCCTCGCGGATGCGCAGCGTGTCGCGCTCGAGCACGGCGACCAGAGTCTCGGCGTCGATCTCGGCGAAGCCCTCGGCGGCGAGCGCCTCCGTCGTGTTCTTGTCGATCGTCTCGAGGCAGAGCGCGGCGAGCTGTGGCTCGTCGAAGAGCCGCGCCTGCGTGAGCAGCATGAACGCGTTGTCGCTGCTCAGGTTCTTCTTGAGGAAGTCGACGCAGTGCTGCTCGAGAGCCGGCACCGCGTACTTCTTCGCCGTGTACAACGTCGTGATGACCGTCTCCGGCCCGATGTGCACCTCGTCCGAGTAGAGGAAGCGCAGCAGCGCGAGGAAGGCCGCCGGCTCGACGTCCGGCAGCGCAATCTCGAGCGCTGCGGTCGTGTCCTCCGACATCGGCCCGTTGAACATGGCGTCGAAGACGGCGCTGCCGACCGACAGCACGAACTTGTGCGCGGGGATGCGCTGCTGCTGCGGCAGCGGAACGCCGACCATGAAGTGAACGTCGGAGAGTATCTCGTTGTTGAAGAGGAACGCGAGACGCTCGCGGCACGTCGTCTTCGTCGCCTGCCAGTTGTAGTACTGGCCGATGTTGTGCGCGAGGGCGTTGCTGCAGCGCCCCGCGGCGGCGGCGGCGGCGGCGACAGCCGGGCGGTTCGAGTGCGGTCGCAGCCCGCTGCTGCTGCGCCGGCTCAGGTTGGCGCCGCGCGGCCGCGCCTGCGCCTCCTCGTCTGGCCCCTCGAAGAGGAAGGCGTCGAGGTCTTCGCAGAGGTTCTCCATGTTGTTGGCAGCTCCTCCGCAGTTGGCCTGCACGCTGTTTGTCGGCGGTTCCTCCCCACCGGCCGCTCCATTGCCGTTCTCGTCGCTATCTTCTGCTATCTCCTCCTAGAAAAATGCGACGATAGAATAACCGACTTATTTACTGGTGAATTTGGGAGAAAAAGCACTGAGCCATGACAAGACGATACAATTTCGAATACTTTTACCTGCATCAAGGCAAATTAATTCACTGTTGATGAAGTAAGCTATCCGGCCAAGATATGTTCCCTCGGAATTTGTTCCCAAGTCAAACAAGCTCACACACGCACGCACGCACGCACGCACGCACGCACACACACACAGCATACACTTGTACGTTCCCATCAGTATGCCAAAATCTCGACTTGTGTTTAGAATATAATATCACAACATTGATCAGCTGGGACTGATTCTGTGAATCACGAGATACATTAATTAAGGGTAAAAGCTTCTAAACCATAATTAAACACCGATACATTTCCAGATATTTGCTTCCGCAAAAACAGCGTTCCCACAGATCACCTGGAGTGAAATTTAATGACCTTTCCATGACTTTTCATGACTAAAATTTCCGAATTTAATGACTAATTTGAGAAGAATTTGCATATAATAACGAATCATACATCAGTGCATCGATTTCGAAAAAATGTTAATAAACTTTATTTAACATAATGCATGAAATCAACCTGCAAGGTAACTGGGACTGTGTGAGTGGGGCTAGTTATAATGATAATGATTTCAAATATTACAAAAACTTGACAGAAGAAAATACTCCAGGAAAATCTCAAATTTAATGAATTTTAATGACTTTCCCCACTTTCCATGACTTTTCAAAGCCTGGAAAACCAAAATCCATTTGCCATGCCTTTTAATTACTTTTAATGACCGTGGGAACCCTGAACAAGGTAACCTATGGCAACCTGGTGAATTCAGGTCTAACACATTTACTGCAGGAGGATACAATTCCTGATACTGTTACCTGCAACAATACAGTCTGATGCACTACTACTACTAATGATTTCATCGTAAAAGCATCTGAGCCATAATTAAATAGAACTACATTTCTGAAATCTCTACCCGGAATTTTTGATGACACTTGCAACATATGAATCAATGTGTCTCACTATCCTACACAAAGACTAGACTAAATTTGAATGATCAGAATTTCATTGAAGGGTCTGGGTTTAATCGCACGCATATGTAGCCTCAGCTGCATTGAAACCATTTTCTTTAAAAGATGGCACACTTCTTTTCCACATCTGCTGTCTACATTATAGTAACAGTTCATTATATTGTAGTACATTATACTCGTTACTATTACACGAATAGTGTTGGTACCTGTCTAGGATCTTCCTCCTCTTCCTCTTCCGAAACAGTGCGATTTCGGCGCAAATTTTTGGATGCCATCTTTTCCTGGTTTTGTTAGTACTGCAAAGTAGGTGGCTCGCACTGTAGCCAATATCCTACTGTGCCTAGGTCGACTCAGTCTCACAAACAATTCCCTGTAAGTATTGCAAAATTCCACTCGTGAGTATTATAATGCACAAAAATGCTCAATTGGTAGCTAATCACACAATTAGAATGGGAAGGGCTCAACAGCTAATATTCATCCTAAATAGATTAGCTTGAATATAGACTTGTAGAAATGACTATTTTAAAAAGGACCTGTATGCATTTGAATGTAATCATTGATCATTGCTGTCTTATTGCTAACATGGGTGATGCTGAAACACAATTGGGCTCGCCTACTTAATAGCAGCGGTTACCACTAAC